TATATATATATATATATATATATACAAGATAAACCTCCTAATTTGTACAAGTCTCTATAGCACCCAAGGGCAAGACACAGAAACAGAGTCAGGTAAGCATAAGCCTTATTCTACCATTCTGATATGGTTTGGTTTGAATGTTATACAAAGCTACTTGCAGGCTATCTGTGATAATCATTCCTAATTTGGAATTGATAGACTGGATAGAAGGCAGCTAGTCAACACCACCCATCGCTAACTTTTGGGTTACTCTTTTACTAACTAATAGTAGGATTGACCATCACATTATAATGCCATCATGGTTAAAAGGGAGAGCATGTTCGGTGACAGGGATACAAACCTGCAACCTGCAGATTGTGAGTTGAGCACCCTAAACAATAGGCTATGTCAAGCCATTGTGATATGTAACCTTTGTCGAAGTTCAAGGTTGAGCATAAATTTGCAACCTTTGTACATCCAATTTACAAGGATGTCACTAACAACATGCAGAATACCTGCACAAAAAATTATCAATTTACTTAAAGGGTAAAATCAGCACTTCTTTCAACTACAGAAACTCCAACTCCTTATTCATTTCAGGGTCTTCCTCAACCCAAGCCTCGAAATTAAGTGTTAAAAAGCAAATTTCACAATTAACTAACAATGTCATATTTTTTGGTAATCACATTCAGCTCCTCCATTGGTCTCATTTCTACTGCATCAAAGCCCAAGCCCCCAGCAAATTGACTGCCTGGGCCTGACAGTGATAAAAACAATGGTCAATGCTGGAAAAATTAAAGGCTGTGGTTGGCAATCTGAGGATTCTAAAATTTGTGATGAAATCCTTCTAATGGCCCAACTTTTCAGCTGGTGTTTCCCCCTATATTCTTTTTCAAGATAGACTTCTTTTAAAGTCTTAGACACACTTCTCAAAGATGCAAGGCAAGATCTGGTGACCTTCTTGATGAAGGTTGACCACTTCCTCCTGTGCAGCTCTTAGTTCACAGCCATCAGGAAATTTACATTTTAAGAATGTGGCAGTAACTTGAGATTCCTAGGTGACATCATATTCCTGATATGTTCAAGGAGTAGGTTCAGTAGTGGAAACAACTTGTTGTTCTTTCATTTCTTACAGCCTTGCATTGATCACAGTGACTGTCCCTAAATGGTTCAAAGCCTGCAAAATATCTTCAGTGTGCTTCAACCCTGTCTCTACCATTGAAGCTTCTGGGATCAAGGGTGAACCTGGAAAGCTATCAAGGCCTATAATCAGGTACAGTGTATTGTTCATGGCAATAATATGGTAGGCTAATCAAACTACTCCAAAGTCCAGTTCATGATACATCTTGTAGTTACTACTACTAAAATCCATCTTACTCATGTTACACTATATATGTTATTTATCATATACCCTTGATGTCTAACAAGTATTTGGTGATGATAGATTTTTTAAGTTCTAAAAGGCTAAAGTATAAACTTAATTTGACTATCGTGATACTTCTGTTCTTAAGATTTTTTCAATTTAATCTTTCGTTGCGTGTGAATAATTCTCAAAGGTGGTAACTATAAACCCAATATAAGCAACATTACCCTCACAGGAAATGACATAGTAAAGAAGTTATGATCTCACTAATAGCCAGAAAGAAAAATGCACGAGGAAGAACAAAATGATGTAGAGATAAAGTCAATGAGTAGTGAAAATCAGGATAATCATAACATTTCTATGTATGGTAAGCTGTCATAAACAATGATGAAATACCAAACAATGTGTTTTGTAACATAGTTACAATAATTATAAGTTAACTTCACATCATATTCCTATATTTTTATCAATAAACAAACAGCAATGCTATCTTTTTAATAAAAGTTTTTAGTGCTATATATAATGCTAATCAAAAGTGCTACTACTGTTTACAATACTAAACATCTACATGAGATATAGAAGACTGTGTTTACTTACGGATAACCCAAACAAATAGTAAGAAAGCCATGTTTTAGTATTATGTTGTACACACACCACACCAGAGATATTATTTGAGGAGTAATAACAATAGCTCGAAAAAACTGAACTGCCACATTGTAAGCTGTTAATGGTACACACCATAAACATATCTGAAACAAATAAAAAACAAAACAATTCTGTGTGTGTATACTACAACAGTAAAGGTTTCATGCCAAACCAAAAATGCAACTTTTAATTTTTATATAAAAATTGTATATGGAAGTTAACCATTATTAAATATGTAATTCCCCAATCTAGATCTTCCTTTCACTCAATCTCCATGTAATATGGATTATACTCTTCTTAAGAGTGTAGCGTCTTTATCTCTTGGATCTCTCTCATTTCTCAAAATAATTTTTTCTGGCTAAAACTCAACAAACTTCATAATCTTAACAGTTACCAATGATCATACTTAATTTGGTTAAAGTTTATTATCACTGAAATGTGTTCATTAACCCTCTCATTACAGGTAGGTCAAAGTGTGCTCATCACAACTTCTTTGGAATTACATTCAGAATTTAATTAAACTACTTTATTATCATTGTATACAAATAAACTTGATATGAAAGCATAGTTAAAATATCAAATTTTAATATTATATAACTTTTAAGTTCTTATTTTTTTAAAGAAATATCTTAAAAAATCTTCAATCTCTCCTAATATGAGAACTGTGACATTTGTTCTCTAGGTCTTCCACTTCTCTAAGTTATTTACGATCCCTTTGAGAAGTTCAGAATTCAACATTAAATATTTATTATAATACAGATGTTATTAAGGCAAAGCATAATTTTTGTAGCCTTCAACTTTATTTGTTTATAGAGCCATAAACTAAAAAGTTAGATTCACTTGCTATGCCCACTTGTCACATCCTCTCTTTCACAAATTGCCAACAGTTCTGACATTTTATACTATATTACTTGTAACCGATGGAAGTTTTTATATTATATCAGGTTGCTTTACGTATAAACTGTCTGTTTCACCTCTCTCACAGTATTCACATCAACAAGCTTAGATAAATTTTTAAAGGTTCTTATCGCATAGTTAGAAAGCCAGATAAATTATGGTAGTTATAGGACACTGTTTGCTTTGTGAGTGTCATTATTCTGTGTTCTTAGGTGCATTATTCAATTAAATAAAAATTATTTAGTGCACTAGTAACATTAGTATAAAAAAGCAGGCTTAACTTTCATCAACAGTAAACAGCAAAAACAACAGGACACAGAAAAGTACTTTATTTATTGTTTTCATGTATACTCTTTATTATTATAAAAGTAGCTAGAATGTAAAGATAAAACCCTTATTACATTAGATAAGGTTAGATTAGCTAAGATAATGAAAAATAATAATAATAATAGACACAAGTCAAAGGGAAATAAAACAATAAAATTGAAGTATAAATAGATGTACACTGTTATGAGCTTTAAGTTACTTAGGATAAAACAATTGTTTGTAGTATCCAGTTACAACTGGCAGTTATTCGAGAAAGAAAAAAAGGTAATTTAGTTTTTTTGTATTTTTTATGGTTGTTATGAGGTCACTCAAATTGACCGAAGGCCTATAGAGTTGGGGTAAAGAAAATAACAATAAATAAGATATAAAGTTTTACTGAAAAAAATGTTTGATATTTATTTAGGAGATTTTAGAGATTGTGCAAATGAAATTTGACAATTTTCAGCTATAGAAGAGTATTTTTTATTTTAATATGAAATTCACTTTGCACTTAGAGCAGTCAACACTCTGACTCCACATATTCACTGACAAATTTTTAGTAAAAGTACTTAAAAACAAATATGATTTTGTTTGTACAAAAAAATCGTAATGCTTACTAAAGCTTGCCAAATTTCATTACGATACACAAAACATATCAAATGTTACAGTATAGAAACTCTGATGGTCACTTTTAAGTCACAATTTTGATGTAATCTACCAAGTCAGTAGCAAAAGGGTTTATTCAGCATTTTTATGCTTCTTATGGTTTCTCTTTAAAAACATTCTACATATTAATGGAACCCCATAAACTAACTGATGAGATGGGGTGCAACAACATTTGTTAAAACTTGTTGTCAAAAGAAATGTTTAAAAAAAAGTTACTTTGAAGTTTACATAAAATATAAATGCAAGTCAGTGCAAGTCTAATACTTACTTGTTTAAAGACATTAAGGGGAAACCTTCTTCCTAGCATCAGAAGGCTGAAAGCAACAACATATGGGTCAATGAGGTAGAAATTCTGCAAAGAAATTATTACATGACTGTTTTGACAAGTTATATTACATTTAAACAAAACTCAATATAATATATTAATCATTTCAAGTTATTCATATTACAAAAGTTAGTAACTTGCACTTATGATTCAATAAATTTTAGTCACAGAGTAACAAAAACTTATTAAGCAAATTCAAATTTGATTATGTTGATACAATCATCAGATCCACTTAAGTTAGTATTTTTGAAACAAATATGTCAAATTATTAACTTGTATTGTGGATGATAACAATTGACACGGTATAAAAAATGAGTCAAAAAGCAATAAAAATATAGCCTACTATCTTTTTCACTCAATAAACTCCGCTAATTCCTTTATGGTTATCAAAATTTACTTAAAATTATTTAAAAAATCAATTTCCTTGACTAATCAGCATAAAAAAACTTGTTGGAAAAAAAAGCAGATTCTAGAAACACCATCCACTCACTGAGTGCTTATAAAAAAACTATCCAAGTATGATGTAAATAAATAGAGATACTTACTTGGGGGAAAATAATTATTACCTGTCTAACAAGAGTTTTTTTGTAACTAATTATAAGAAACTGCTATACAATAGAAAAGGAATTTTCTTTGGAGTCTATATTATTTGCTATATGATGGTTTATCCTTACAAATAGTTTGAAAATAAATTTTAACATTTTCTGCAGACTTAGTAGCTTTAGGATTTATCACAGAAAACTATCAAAAGAAAAATGAATAATTAAAATTAATGTTCAGAAAATATGTATAAACACATACAAATTTATTCACACACACACACAAAAAAAAAAGAAAACCATGATAGCACTCTTTTATCTTACTTGTATTTAATTTCTCTGTACTGTGGCTAAAAATAACATCAAACAAATGGTTTAAAGAAATTTGGGAACAAATCAATTATCATCATTTACCATACACAAGAAATTTATTAGGTTTGTTACAATTTCATCAATAAGAAAATACCTAATTAAGTTAATCTTTCTAGATATTTACACGGTTCATTAAACTTTCATATTTTCTATATTCAATGAAAATTTCATTAAATAAAAGTTCAATAACTGATAAATATTTAATTTGTCAAAAATATTTTCATTTATTATTTTAATGGTAACAACAAAGTAATTAAAATAATTTTTATTTCTTCAATTTTGTTAATACTGGGTGTTGACTAATATAATACTACCATATACTATTATTTAAACTTACAAATTTGAAATACTTAAAATTCATGCATTATAACCTCTTATGAACTAACTATAATTCAGAACCATTAAAATGACCACACAAGGAACCAACAGTCTTGTTCCAGTAAAGCAACACAAGTATTCTAATTGAACTAATTAAATAAATTCTGTGTTGAACTTAATCATTGTTTAATACTTTTCCATTAAAGTATTAAATTAATTTCATACTTAAAACTTCATTCTTGTACTTCATTTGATTAACCTGTTCACCAGCAAAGCAGACAAAATATCCAGAGATGACATCTATTATTCATAAGTACTATCTCAGAAACCCAATATAATTTAGATTAAAAATAATGATGTGTAAATTTATTCTAGTATATAGACCACAATCACATGAGAGAAGTGTTAACATTTTCCTAAACTGAAAATGTATTTCCGATAGATATTTACCTCTTCTCACAAAAAGCTTTCTTGACCTATATTGCCTCTATTGGCAAAAATTTTCCCTTGCCACTAGCCTTGATACTCCCACTTATTTCTGATACTAACATGCAAATGATTATGCAGCAGCCCTCCAACAACAGAAGTGTAACACTACCCCTATTGTAAGTAGCACCCTCTCTAATCTTGCAGCTGTCAACCACTTCAAGATTGATCAGATCACACCAAATCACACGAGAAGTGGGATGGACGGGTAGAAAATGTGAGAAGAGGTAAGTATCTATCGGAAATAGATTTTCAGTTTAGGAAAACATTAACTTCTGATAAGATATGTTACTTCCTCTCACAAAAAGTTAGAATCCCACAATGAACTAGTGTAGAGTGGTTAGGGTGCAACAGACCATAAATGGGAGTTCAACCTCAACCAACACCTGGCTGCATCTGAAATTGTACAATAAGTCCACAGTAGGAAGAGTGGCCTCTACCTTTCACCTCAAAAACAAGTATCAGCAGGGAAGAGGAGCTTCCATACAAAGAATCCACCTCCGCAGGTGCACACCTCTAACACCAGAACCCCTGCGACCCAACACCCAGCAGACGGTATGAAGAGCATCACGCCATCTACACCAGCAGAATGCCACCACCCTAATCTCAAATGAGTGGTATTGTGCACACTCAGGAGGACAGGCTTCCATGATCCATCAACCCAGTGGCTAAGAACTGGTAAGTAGCAAGTGTAACGGTGTATGAGCAGCCCATGGGCTTCAGCTTTGGGTTTGTTGTTGCATTCATTACAAAGGAACTCAACTGGATTTCAAGTCATGCTTTTCCAAGTGGAGCACACAAGCCACCAACTCGAGGAGGTTTCCATGTGTAATAAAAAACCCGTACAGAGGCAAATGAATACAAATCAAATAGTCTTTTTATTTATACACTGTTGAGCATTTAATCTATATCGAAACTCTCAAGGTTATCTTGAAACAACACTAATTCTAATTCTTCATTTTAAAGATCTAGATGTTCATTAATAAGGCCTACTATTATGTTCAGTAACATAGATGCAGCATTAATCCAGTTTTCAACTGAATTAACTTAAGAAATCCTCTTGTCATAATCTGTATAACTGTATTAACAATTCTCCAAAAATATCTTTAAGTAATTCCCCTTTAACCATTTCTGTACTATTTCTTTAGTACAATTAATGTCCTTCACTTTTCTCTCTTTATACATACACATTATTGAGCCTTAAGTGAAACACTGTTAGACTAAATCAGAAATAGCATACTTACAAAAAGTTTGTGCAAGAAATTTCTTGAAGATTCTGGATTACTGCCATCTTCTGTCCTCTAGAATCTAAACAATTCCCTAGAGCAACTTAAGATTTTCAATTTGAAACACAGAATTATGTACACCATTTTTAGTGTTTTTCAGATTGTTCAAGAAGTTTAGGAGATCTACTTTTAAAAGTAGTTCTTTTAACTTGATTGGTAAAAGTGGGATCTTCCATCATACTGTAACCAAAATCCACATTGTTATTGATTCTTACAGAACTTATTCCTGTCCCTTATCTAATATCTTTGGCAAAATTATCCAAGACAGTTAATTTGGGGTGTATAGAGAAAACCATGTAACTCAGGTTTCTTCACTAAGATTAATTCACTCAGTGATTTTCCTCACCATTCTGATTCATTTCGTCAGAGGCTTTATCTAAACAATTAGGGTTTTATCTCAATATACCACACTTGTCTGGCAGCAAATTCTGTAGCTGTGAATCTTCTTCCCTCTAGGTCAAGACACGGAATGTGTCTTTAGATAAATTGTGCAATGGACCTCAAACTTGTATCTTCCTTATTTGTAACTGTGGTTCACTAGTTAGTGTCCATGTTATTTCATAAAACTTTTGATCTGCTGCTTTCTCCATACTATACATTATATATGTTATAAAGAAATAAAACGTACTTCTTGAAAACCTTATAATATGTATATACTTAGTATACTTATTGATATTCTACAAATACTTCAATCCTCCCTCTGTAGGAAATTTTTATCTCATAAAAACTTCATCACACAATCTCCTTGATCTACCTCTGTCATGGCATCTAACAATGCTTTATCTGAATTACTCTAAAACTCACTATTCCATTAGGAAATATTTTACGTAAGATTAATAGTCAACACATATATCTTTATATAACTTCTTCAAATAACATCATATCAAAATACTAGTATCAAAATCCATCAAAGTTTTACACAAAAACATATGTATAAATATTTTTTATACAAAACACATCAAATGCCAAAAATAAACATATATAAATATAGATACAAGCAAAAAAAATCTATGATTATATATGAAAATGATACTGTAATGCCAAAAACTGCTACAATCAATGAATAAATAATCTGAATTAAAATATAATACAAAGCAATACCTAATATATATATATATATATATATATATAT